ATTTATTTGGCACTCAAGCTCATATTTAAGCTGCACGCAAATCGCTTGCAACGCGAAACTGACTCTATTTGCCCCCCATGAGATTTATTGGCATATCTATGAGATTATTGCGCTTCACGGATTAATGCACTAAATGGCACTCAACGTGCTAAAATATATATATATACTACAAAACAGGAAAAACAATAAACCAAATATTGCTGCAAATATTTATTTATATGTGGACACAAAATTCCATTGGGCAAATATTTGCCTGGGCGTTTATTTGTTTTGTTTTAATGGTAAAAAAAAAACTTTCGGAGGGTCTGACAAGCATTTGAAATGTGTGAAATATTTTCGAGTGCATACAAATTTGAGGCACTGTTGTGTGAAATTTAATTAGTTCGTCAGCTTCAAAATATATCAAAAATTGTTGAATACATTTGCGGCTTAGCAATCAAAGCAAAGGTACTCGACATATTTGCTAATTGCTTTGTTTGCTTTACGGTTCAGTTAATTAATTAATTTTGTAATTTAAATGTAGTTCCCATCAAATCGCAATGCTAGTTGGTTTATTTAACTAGAAATAGAAATTATTTGAAAAACTGTTTACATTTGCATTTCATAAAATTTGTTTTAATTTCATGCAGCTTCTCTTTGCACACATTTGAGTGTGCCTATCGACTTGCCACACTCTGCTTGCCACATGCGGCACCATCAATTTCCAGAATTTCATGGCTCTGACTTTTGGCCGCCGCCTAAAGCGCAGATACACAGCTTAGTCCTGGCCAGCTTATAGTGGCCGTAATAATTAGTTTGACTGCGTTTTCACGCAACATGCCCCACGGCCAAACGTGTGGCAGCCGCTAACTGGCACCTGGCTTGCCACATGCCTCTGATTCTTAATCAAAATTGCGCGCATTCCATTGGCCAACGCACTGTGCCCGAAAAACCAGGCTAATGGAAATGCCTGACAAGCCAACTGGCTAATGAGCTCACCGCAAAGCCAAACAGCAGCTCGAAAGTGTTTGCCAAACATGATTGAAGATCGTCTATCAGAGAGTCGTGCGATAGTTGTGTCTTTATATAAATGGCATAAGAATTTCCAGAAAATATGCAATTTCAATTGACAGCTGCTAAAGCTAAGCAAACATTCAAGATTGTGCTAAGGAGACAACACTGATATATATATTCCAGATCCGCATCAACAACCGAGTTGATATAACCATTTCCATCTGTTTGTCTGTCTGTTTCTATGCGAAACTTGTCTTGAAACTTTCCAAAGGTCCGTTTTACCCTGTTGAGTGCGCTGTAAGCTGAGCGGCTGCTTTTCCGCACAGACTCGTTCCTTGGAGAGATTGCATTTCGATTTGATGTATTAGTAAAACCCGATGCTGCACAGGATAACGAGCCAGTCCATACCGGCAGAGCAAGACAGTCAGTCCCTTTAATGTGCCTGGCGAAGGTAAAGCGCTTATCAAAGGGTTACGTCCAGGTATCTTGTATAACTCTCCTGCTATAGAGTTAGCCCGATTGGCTTCAGAGCTGGCGGTTCTTCTTGGTTCACAAATGAAACGAGACTAAGCTTAAATTTTAGTTTTCCACTAAAAAGATTGCATTACGTAAATATTTACCTTCAACAGAGCCACATTTTTTTCCTAATATAAATAAATTTACCAATATGTATATTATTTGATATTCAGTTTTTGAATCCTTTAAAATTTCTGAGCAATTTCTCTGGCATGTCAGCAGAGTATCTTAAAGCATGTAGAGAATCTCATCTACTTTTTGTCTTTGCCTGCTACCTTGCACTCCCTCTCACTCTCTCGCTCTCTATTTCGTCACCCGCTGGGCATTTTGGTTGCCTTATTAAGTTGGCGCCTTGACGGCAACTGAAACCTGCCCCTGCCCCTCTCGGACCAACTTTGTGCATGCCAATGATACTTTTATACAACTCATTTTTCTTCTTCGTTCCTTTTTTTTTCAACATTTCTTTGCCTTTTTTATTTTTTTTTTGTGCCGCGCTTTTTCGCATCGTCATCGTTGCAACTTCATTGTCAAAGTTGTGCAAGTCGTGAGAGTCGCGCAAGTGGAAGAGAATTCCACAAAAATTGCAGCCCTGTGCGTTGAGCAAATAGCACCAAAAGAAACCTAAACGAAACGTCGCCTCCTCTGCGGTATTTCGGTTAAGCGCTAATTATATGTAAATAGATCTAACGCGACGGATGCTTAAGGTGCAAGATAATTGGACGCCACATTCGCGACGGAAGATGACAACAGACTCAAGTAACTGTAAAGTAAAGAAAAAGAAAAAAAAGGGAAATAATGAAATAATTTCCCGAATGGTAAGAAATTATTTCCATTGCGCAAACTAGACAATCATCTAAGGTTTAACTGGAATGCAAAGAATTACAATGAAATGAGAAGGTAAGACCTAATTATTTTATTAATACTAATATTTTTATTATTATATATTTATATATTAAATTATTTCACTTTTTGCTTTATTTATCGTAAATTAATAAATATTAGTTATAGTTACAAAATATTCTTGATTTATGTTTTAGAATGTCCTTTTTTACTTTCATGATAAATTAAAGTTTTGAATTCCGGGCTCTGACTGGTCTGATTAAGCCCAAGTCAAAGGGCCTTTGGGGGACGTAACCCGTCAGCATTTAGCTGACAATTTATTATGTAAGCTTTTTACTTTTAATCAAATGTCGCTGCAATTAGCCAAAGCCCATTTGCATAAATTCCTTTGCATTTAAGTCATTAGCACCCGAAAAATTTCATTACACTTTGTCGTGCGTGTGCCCGAAAAGAACACCATTCAAAATATCAAAAAAAAAAAAGAGAGGGAGAACAAAAAAAGAAGAGAAGCAAATGACAAAATAAATGCAGAAGGTGGCTGGGTAAGCAACATGAGAGGGCGTGCGGTTGGATAGATAGATGATGTGGAAGGGGTGGGTGGCTGGGGGGAGCCACATGAGCGACAGCAACCAACACGTACAAAACGCATAAACATTCTTGCTTAAGTGAGTTTGTACATAAATATTCCAACTTGAGCTGCAGCTGTGGGTGTCGAAAGGAGGCGGCGGGCGTGTGCGTCTGTGTGTGTGTGTGTGTGTACAAAAATAGTCAAAATGTATTCGAGTGTTTGGGTTAGCTCAGTTTCAGTTTCAGTTTCGGTTTCGGTTTTTGGTTTCGTTTGCATTTGCAGTTTTATTTATATAGCCGCAGGCGTTCCAAAGGCAACTACAAAACCATAAGAGAAAAATATGTTTCACTTATGTGCAACTGTACGCCTTTGGCGTTTTACAGGCTTAGTTGAATCAATTTAAGCTACTCTCAAATATAATGTGAAATTAAAAGCATTTTTTTCGCTTTATTTTTTTTTTCTCTTTAAATTTAAGAAATGATCTGAAGTCAAATGCATAAATAACAGAACTAGATAGCTCGCTCACTCGCTCTTGCGCTCTCCCGCTCCCGCTCTTCCTTTGGGGCGACTATGCTGAAATGCAGCAATTACCAACATAACAGCTTTCATATTATGCAAGCGTCCGCTGGGAACTGCGAAGGCAGCAACAACTGTTCGACAGTTGTGAAGTAACTGTCAAAAAAACCAAAAAAAAAAAAATAAAAGACTTCAGTTGCTAACTTTACTCGCTTTATTCGCACGTCTTGCGGCGGCTTAAGAGAACCGATTAAAGAGCGACAACTCGAAAGAGAGCGAAATGTACGCGTAAAACACAACACTGACCTACATTAAGCGGAATTTTATTTGTGCCGGCTGCCAAATTGGTTCCCCAAACGCGTTGCCCTTATGACTATGACGGATATGGTTGGGTTTCTGTTCAGCTGCCGACTTGGCTCTGTTTACGTTGTTGCTGTTGCTCTTGTTGTTGCTGTTGTTGTTGTTGTTGTTGTTGTTGTTGTTGCTGTTGTTGGTCATTGGCTCTAATAATAATGGTTTGTAATTTGCATAAATAATGCTTGATTTTTGCATCGATGGCGTCCGCCCTCTCTGTATTTGTTTGTGTGTGTGTGGCTGTGTGTGTCTGTGTGTGTGTGTGCGTGTGTGTTGCTGCATTTTAAATGATTGAATGGTTTTGCTTTGTGAATTCATGTTAAGTTAGCCAGCTGACTAGATGGACTAAATTATTTCGATAAATGGAGAAATATAATTTAGGTGTAAATTTGTAAAGCTTTGCAATGAGATCAATAGAAGTTACCTCGTTAAAAACTTGATAAAAAAATTGTCAATTATAATAAAATTAAATTAAGATAGTCATTTGATTGTCAGAAAGAACAGAAAGGGAGAATCTCTTCGGGATAAAACTTATTATTCAAGCAATATGAAAACAATGGATATAAGTCCGATTCTACAGATTCTATAGATATATTGTGATGATATTGCTCAATAAATCAGTACAAAGAAATGTGAATTATTTTACCAAATAAGCACACATCTAGCATAGGAAAATAATAAAATGTATTATTAGGCTGTTCATCGTTTTCCTCATTTGAAAAAATATGTATTATCATAACAAAACAATAATTGTTTATTTGCCCAGCTAATTGTATGCATAATTTGTCTAATAACCGAATACTTATAAGCCACGAATAAAACCAAAGTAAAACAATGAATTTTCTATTGATAAACCTCAAATTATGCATTCAGCGGGCGCTGCGTTGTTTACAAGACCGCAAAAGCAGCGGGTTAACAGCGCGCTGTTAAGTTTAACATGACCGCGCTCTGTACAAGTGTAACTCTTAAGCGTACGCTGCGCTCTCTTGCAATGCCTGCACACATACACACACACACGCACGCACAGGCACATCGAGCAACTTCGTTGCCGTGTTAGTCGGCAACTTCGTTGTTCACTTCAAAGCGGCACGAACTTCGCGACTCTCTGGTTCGGCAAAGCCGATGGCCATTAAACGAGAAGCAACGAAGCGCAGCGTCTGGCCACTTGGTGTAATCAGTGCGTGCTGCTAAGTAAATTAGTTTAGTATGATTTTAGTGCGCAACGTTGACGGACGCGCCGCGCGACAATTCGCTAAGCAGCATTACAACAACGACAACGGCAACGACAACGCGCTCGTGTCTTTTTAGCTCGTCTCTGTGTTAGTGAGAGTGTTAAGCGTAACGGTACTTCGATTCAATTTCATATGTGTGGCCAATAAGTGCGGCCCCGGGGCATTTAACGGCACGCGCCTGAAAGCATGCAGCAACAAATTCAATACCGTACGTAAGAGTATTACAAAAATTAACAATAATAATAATTAAAAGTCGCGTTAGCTTAAAATTTGCAACTTCATCATTTGGCACGCAGTTTCGTGCAAATTGACTCCATTTGCCACGTCGAGCCCTTTGGTAAGAAATGGATTTCCCTTTGTCTTTTGCCCGCTGTTAACTTAGACTCTGCTCCGCTGTCCTGTTAACTCTTCGACTGCAACTTCGAGCTGGGCTTGGGCCTTGATTGCATTCTCTGTGCGCCCATTCGAGCGTGCTTTATTATGGCAGATATTATGCGACGTGCAGCCTGTTGCAATAACAAAAAAAAAAAGGCAATTTAAATAAAAATTATAAAAAAAATAAAACAAAATACAAAAAAAAGAGTTAAAGCAAAGACAATAAGCATTGCCATGCTTATGGGGCATAGCATTGCATATAGAACACAGCTCTTATGCAATTAAATTGCGCTATTTTTTCAGCATTTGTTTTGTTTGAAACATAGCTGGTTTATTTTATTTATTTTTTTTTTTTTGCGCCCAAACAAAATGTTCTATTATTTTTTTAATTGAACAAAAACCACAACAGACCGCATTGCGCTTGTTTTTCTATAATTAAGTCATGCAATAATATTTCTACCAGCAAATATTAATCGAAAATTTGTAGTGATATTTTCTAAAGCAGCGCGCGAGAGCTGTATTTGTACTAAATCAAAATAGCTTTGAAAATATTAAACAAATGTTCAAATCACAATATACAGTACGCTGCATATAAACTTAACAAATTTGTCAGCCAGTCTCCGACAATATATTTTCTATATATTCGCTGAGCAGTATGACTGCCAACGTACCCTGCTTTTATTGCGCCCTGGTCGGCGATCGCGGCACCGGAAAGACAAGCTTCACTTTGCGCCACCAGACGGGCGAATTTGTCCAGAAATATCGGCCAAGTTTAGTTTATAGCAATTGCCTGCTCGAGTTCCATACAACCAAGGGCGATATTCAATTCAGTGTCTGGAACACGGTGCAATTGAACGATTTGCACTTTCTGAATGTCCGGTGTGCGATTATTATGGCCGAGGCGAATGCCAGTAAATCATTTATCCGTGTGCCCAGCTATCAGTGTGAGCTGCGGGCACACTTTGGCGACATTCCAATTGCGCTCTGCGGCAATAAGATGGATCTGGGCACGCGCGCCTCGAAGTCATATCAGCTGTACTTGGCGAATGGCGATACGTTTGAGTATTTTGATATATCTGTGAAGAAGACGCTCAACTGCGAGCTGCCATTCCTATGGCTGAGCCGTCAACTGCTGGGCAATGCCGAGCTGGAGTTTGTTGCCAAGCCGGCGCGTTTTCCACCAGACATACCCAAGCGAAACTGGGAGCAGATATTTTTGGAGAACGAGTTTATCAACCAGGTGCCGCCCATTGCGGATGACGAGTGGTAATCCCATGCAGTTTCCCCGATTCATTGTTCACGAACCTCAACACATATTGTTTTAGTAAAGCAATACACTAACATTCCACATCTATGTGAACTACTCTACCTTTGGGCTAATATTGCCATCCTGCAAGACTCTGAGATCAGGAAGCGACAATTGTCTGAATCTTTGTTGCAAGCAGTAAATATGTCGATGTTAACCGAATCGGTTCATACTTGACATATTGTGGAGCTTAATAAATATATTATATCATATTAAGCTTGAAGCTTAGAGTTCGCACTGCCAGACGAAAGAGGCTAAATATATTTACTATCTAATAGAGCTAAGTTGTATATCTAGCTATAGCTTGAGCTGGAGCAATATGTTGTTTATTAGTAACTAAACTGTTGTCAGTTTATAATATGCTCAATTAATATTATACCCCATCGTTTAAGAAATCATACGAATTGCACTCGCATTGCTTTCCAGTAGCAACATTTAATACTGTGTCGCCGTCTAAACATGGCTAATGAAAAGTCGAAGAGGCTTTATCTAAAACTAACAAATAGCGCTATTTTACCTTTGGCCATATTGCCAGCTCCACACTCCACACGCACACATGCCCACACACAATGCAGCGCCCAAAGCAGCGCGCGCACACACGCACACACACACACACACACTCGCACATACTTGCCATAAAACCAACATGAAATTTGGTGCATCCACTGAACGACCCTCGCTTGTGGCTGGCCATTCAATAACCAAGCTGAAATATGCGCGCACCAGAGGCGTCCGCAAGGGGGTTGGCGTTTGGGCAGCTGCCCTAGAAACCAAATTCTAAAGGTCACCTTTTGCTGAAAATAAATATACAACATAATATGCCTTGTTCAGGACTCTCATTTTTAAGAGTATTTTTTCTCCTGGACATTCATTTTTCTTTGCAGCTGTTTAAAATAGAAATATATATACCCTTTCTGCAGACACTCATACCTTGGTTTTCCAATAAAAATAAATATAAATATATCCAGAGTATGCTTTGCTCTGTTCGCCAATTTCTACAAGTTTCATGCTTAAAAAAAGATATTTTTCCATCTATATCCTAAGCTTCCTTTGTTTTAAGCCCATAAAATTATATACTTTTAAAAATGTATAATCAATTAAGATTTCTTTTTCACACAAATAGAATTTTCCATTAGATATTCTAAGTTTAAGCTGGGCTCAAATTAATTCTAGTTAATAAAAAAATAATAACTTGAATTAATTATTGAATTATAAAATGAAAAATAAAATATTAAAAAATAAGTGGGAAACAAGGTTAGTTTAAGAACTAGCCCTTTGCGTAATCCTCAGCGAGCCACTGACACACACACACACACACACACACACACATGCAACTACACACACACACATGCAACTGCCCTTGGCCGTCGGCTTCGTGTGCGTGCGCTGAAAATATGTGTTTTATGCTCTTTGTGCGGCTTGGACGGCATTTTGTGTTCGGGCGATGCTGTCCGCTAATTAGGCAATATGCACTCGATGCTGTTATAATCATTAAAGCCAGAAAATGCATGGCAACCACACACACACACACACACACACGCATACAATTTGCATAGCATAGTTTCAGGCATTGCAAAATATTTCGCTTAAATGGCAACGATCGCAATTTGAGCAACAATTAAAAACCGCCAATAATTTTGGTAGCTTTGAAATCAGTTGAAGCTGTTGTTCATTTTGGTTTTGGTTTTCAAAAATAAATGTTATTGCTTAAGCATGCCAGAACGAGAACTATCCGACTGTTCGATACTCTTCTCGTGGATTAATTGTAAGCTAATAATTTTGGTTTATTAAGGGAATTTAAAAAATCGCACCTTTCCGCGATATTTTGTAAAATTTTGATATTTCAATCATTGTTTCAAGAGACTAGTTCGCTTAAAAATAGACAGAGAGGCAGACGGACAGCGGCACATGGCTTTAACAACTCGGCTCTTGATGCTGATCTAGAATATATATACTTTAAATGATCGGAGATGTCTCCTTCTATGCGTTACACAATGCATAACAAAATTGGAATACCCTCTACAAGGGTAGAAAAAGAAACAATATAGAATTAAATATGTTCATAAGTTGTCTTAATTTGCCTCTCAAAAAGGAGAATCACTTGGAATTCGGTTCTTCTCTGTTTAAGCAGATTTACAATTTCTGCCCTTCTTGAGCGTATTATACGATTTATATATATATCGTCTTTTATATAACTTTGCAAATTCAGATGCGATATTGTCTTCCGCTGAGCTTTTTATAAGTATATAACAAATTTTTGATGGGATTCAAAATCAACTCAAAATATTTGTTACCTACTCTAGATTTCTGTAACCTGTATATATTGTTTTTTGATAAACTTATAGTTCCTAAAGTTATTTAACTTTTGATTTTATTTAATATGTGTCTCAAAGTCTTTCCGGTCCGTCACGTAGGCAACTTAAAGTCAAAACTTTGCTGATGGCTGCCACGGAAAACCTACAGGAAACGGATGTGAGCGAAAGCAAACACGTGTTGGGGAAAATCTTTGCTGCAACAATGTAAACACTCGCCTTCAAATACACAACCCCACACACACACACACACTCGCACAGGCATCCCTTACCCTCATTGCATATGTAAACCGGCTTGTAAGCTGGCCAATTTTTTATGTATTTATGCATTTCTTCCTCTTATAGCAACATCCCTCTGCTTGCCCATTCTTGACTCGCGTCCGACTTCGTATTAAAATTGTCGGTGGAGAAAATGCAGTAGGGCAACAACAACATTGCCACGCCCATCATCCCATAGTAGGTTAATCAAATGCAAGGCGAAAAAAAATTGCAATACGCGGCTCTGTGCAGCTGGGGGGAGCTGGGAGCTGGATGGCTGGAAGGCTGGGGGCTGCGGAGCTGGGGAGCTGGGGCTTACGGCCGGGCTAGTTAGTGTGCGCGGGTGTCAGAGCTCGTTGGCGTCGCTTTGTGCGTTTGTGTGCGTGTTATATTAAAAAATTTTCCAGCCGAGAGAAGAGGAGACCAACAGCAGCAGCAGCAGCAGCAGCAGCAGCTGCTGAATACAAAAGAAAACTGACAGCTGACGCGGAGACGTGAACAGTGGGACAGTGGGACATTGGGACAGGGATGTGGACGTGGACGTGCAGATATGGCGGATAGGACACGGACTTGATTCATTTTACTCGATATCCAACGAGCTGCAGTCACAGCGTGAATTGCACGTCTATTCTGCAAGACTAACTCAAATTAACTATTCAAGTGAATGCTTAAATCGTTCAAAAATATGTACAACGAATGTGCATTAACTGCACACAGTTATAGAAAATTAATCAACTAGCTTACGGGTTTAATCTTCTAACTTTCATCTAAATGCGAGCAGGCTAATTTGATCTACTTTTGAGTCTAGGGAGAAGGATATACATATATATCAGATATAGTATACATAAAACTCTTTGTCCTGACTGACTGACAGGCTGACTGACTGAGTGGTCCAATTTATTTTGTATATTTTTTAGATATAATCTTTTTTACTTTTATTTCCTCATTTTTCTTTAT